TATGAGGCTGCAGGTTCTGTGCAGGACAAAACAGCTGCACAGTGTAGGTGCCTTTTCATTCTGGGGTGGATTGGGAAATCCAGCACTTCTCTAATATTTAGCCGAAGCTTTTGAGATTGCCGCAGCACTTCCCGTGTCATTGGATGAAAACACACAGCTGCTCTTTAGCTGGTCTTCTCATTGCAACCCCCCCACCGCCAAGAAAAGCCCAAACCAACAAAAAGCGAAATACAAAGCTGGGACAAAATACAGCTTGAGTCACAAGCCTTGTTGTCGCGAAGGTTTTCTTCCTAGTTACCACCATGTCAAAGGAAGTGTCTGTGGCTGTTTTTTCCGATTTGAGCGGCCGGCTGCTGGTATCCAAGGACAGAGGAAAAACTTACGTTATTGGGGGTCACAGTCTACTGAAACAATAGTGAACTGTAGTAACACAAATACGCTGTGTGCAGCGCCAAACCTGACACATACCCTTATCCTGGTCGGAAAGCTTCCTGTGGCATAAGCTGAAAAGCCATCGGAGCTCACGTAGTGTGTGAATGAGAACTGGAATCAACTTCCAGCTTTGGTAGAGGGGCATGAGGGAATAATTGATGTAATAAAAGGGTAAAGGAAATGACAGCAAAAAGCCATTTCATCTCATAAAAATCATGTCTGCCGGATATTCCAGAAATACCGTGTCAATGCATAATACTGTGAAACGCCGAATTAACTCGGTCATTAACACATAATAAAAAGAAATATCGCACAGAGCCTGGGCATTTTCCTTACTGAACACAGGTAAGTGAACAGGATTGCCCATACGTGCCTATTGGTGTCCTTTCCTGGGTTTGGTTACCACTGGTCAAACAAAGGAAGCTCATGAGATCTATGTTTAGATTCATCCGTTGAGCTGAAGTTCCCAGCAGCCCCGCTCCTTCGTTGGTTTCCTCAACTGATGGTTGAAAAGTTGGGTTTTTTTCTGAGTTATAGAATCATAGAATCATGGAATGGTTTGGGTTGGACGGGACCTCAAAGATCATCTAGTTCCAACCCCCCTGCCCCCTGCCATGGGCAGGGAAACCCTCCACTACACCAGGTTGCTCAAAGCCTCATCCAACCTGGCCTTGAACACATCCAGGGATGGGGCAGCCACAGCTTCTCTGGGCAACCTGTTCCAGTGCCTCACCACCCTCAGAGGGAACAATTTCTTCCTTAGATCTCACCTAAATCTCCCCTCTTTCGGTTTAAAGCCATTACCCCTTGTCCTGTCACTCCATGCTCTTGTAAAAAGTCCCTCTCCAGCTTTCCTGTAGCCCCTTTAGGTACTGGAAGGCTGCTATAAGATCACCCCAGAGCCTTCTCTTCTCCAGGCTGATAGATGAGTCAGTTTGAATGGTAACATTTTCCAAATTGTAGCAGCACAGAGGCTGTTAATTAGAGTAAAATAAGAGGAGAAGAACGCGATTAACCTGCGGGGTCTGCAGAGAAGAGTTTCAGAACTGTCACTTACTTATCAGAGCTCCAGCTTTGTTCGTTTCAGAGATTTCTTTCAAAACTTCCAATGTGTTGTCTGCAATCAAGACTCGCTGATAATCATTGTTCTAAAGCATTCATGTTGTGCTATGAATTTACAAATTTGGGCCCTAATCCTGCAGTTATTTGGGTAATCAGAACCTCCATTCAATGCTGCCATCGGCCATGGCAGTAGATAAGATTGCAGTGCCAGGTACATGGATTAAAGCTCTTCCTGGCCTCAATTCTTGCAGCTTGAGCAATAGAAAGTGAGGTGAGTCAGAGGCTGCAGATTCAGAAGGGGCTTTGGTTGCTCCCAGTGATGTCAAGAGGGCAGCTGGGCTTTGAGAGGGCTAAATGGATCAGAGTGATTTGAAGGTGATGAGATACTTGAGTACAAGAGGATTGCAGCTTCTTGGGGAGTAGGGAAAAGACTGGTTAGGCATTTATGAAGGGGAGAGAGAAAAGAGAAAAAGAGGCATGGAAAAAGAAAAGGAAAATCTTGCGTTGCACTCCAGGACCTGATTTAAAGGGCCCTGTGAGGTTTTGAGTAGGGTTGCAACTCAGGGATGAGGATTTTCAGTTGACTTTCAAGAACTGGAAGGAAAACAAGGAGTTACATAGCTAAAAAGAGAGAGAAAAAAGTGTGACTTTTGTAACAGTTCAATAGAAGCCCATTAAATTATGCGAATTGTTACAAAACAGCCACAGAAAAATAATGCTGGAACAGAGGTCTCCATTTATCACGTTTAGCTCTGTCAATAAATTGCGCAATTGGAATGTACAGATGGAAGTCTGGATACGGCCTGTAGTTACAACTTGTTACATCAAAACTGTCGCAGTTTACATCGATGATGAGGTTTTGCTAATTAATGAAGAAAGGAAAAACACAATATTTCAAAAAGCATTGAGGAAATATCACTTTATCTGCTTTTGTAGCTCTGCTTGGCTTCACCTGGATCTGCAGTATTGCGTAACGTACTCCGAAATGTGTTGGGTTTGTTACTGAGATCCCACCAGTAGTAAACTCCGTATTTTTGTTGTTAGTCTGCACCAAGTTCACTTATTTTTTTCTCCCTTCTTATGCAGCTACTGTCACCTTACAGAGAAAGGGATTAGGAAGAGGATTTATTTCCAGCGATTTTTCTGTTTGACTTCCCCTTTGACCATGGGAAATGAGGGCATATTTCTTTGTATTTTCACGTGGCTTTGTTCCCAACCTGTGGGTGCCAAAAGGTGGCACAGGAACATCCGTGAAATCCCTTCTGCACTGGGTCGGGTCCCTCTGAGGACAGCTCTTGTCTCTCACCTCTTCGCTGCTGCCCAGTGCAAATGGCCAAAGCAACCTGATCTAGTTGGAGATATCCCTGTTCCTTGCAGGGGGGTTGGACTAGATGACCTTTGAAGGTCCCTTCCAGCCCTAACCATTCTATGATTCTAAATTCAGAAGCAGCGTTCAGCTGAACGCTGCAGGTGCTGACTGTATTCCCTTTTCTGGGAAAAATTCCCCGAGAGGGAAAGTGAGGGAAGCTGGGATCAACTCTCTTCAATATAGTCTGTGTAGCCATGTGAAGGCGCGAACGGTGCCAAGAAAATCTGGTATCTGCTTTTATTTCCACACATGGGAGGTGAAAAGTTGGATAAAAGAGCATTCCAAATGCAATAGTTGAGAGATATTGGAGTCTCGTATCTTTGCAGTTTGATTTTTTTTTTCCAGATTATAAAATGCATAATTACCAAAAAGCAGGTGAACAAAATTCTTCAATGTTTATAAGGAATTTTTATTGGAGTGGAGGTGGTTTTGTTTCTTTCAGCAGAATGGTTAGCAAATGGATTAAGCCACTTTTCAGCTAAGAGACACTGAACAGCTCAGTTCTTTCTATTTCTCTAGAAGGCTCCAGGGAGACCTTCTAGCAGCTTTCCAGTACCTAAAGGGGCTACAGGAAAGCTGGAGAGGGACTTTTGACAAGGGCGTGTAGTGACAGGACAGGGGGCAATGGCTTTAAACTGAAAGAGGGCAGATTTTGATTAAATCTAAGGAAGAAATTCTTCCCTCTGAGGTTGGTGAGGCACTGGAACAGGTTGCCCAGAGAAGCTGTGGCTGCCCCATCCCTGGAAGTGTTCAAGGCCAGGTTGGATGAGGCTTTGAGCAACCTGGTGTAGTGGAAGGTGTCCCTGCCCATGGTGGTGGAGTTGGAACTAGATGGTCTTGAAGGTCCCTTCCAACCCAAACCATTCTATGGTTCTATAATTCCTTTTCTTCCACATTTTCTTTGCCAATTTAATCTTCTGGTCATCATCTTTCTCACTAAAGTATGCAGCACAGTGGGGCCACTACATCAGGCAGGATTCTTTGGGTGCTTTGCTATAATATATACAGTATATAAAAGAAATAAACATCTGCTTTGATTCACTGTTTGCTGTATTAATTTACAAAGTTACGTTTTCCATCCTGGACAGATGGTTTCCATAGCCCTTCCCCCAGTAACCTGTATGATGAAGTGGAACTGGAGGTCAACAGTCCAGAAGAATTCTCGTTTTTCCAGGAAGACCTTGTGGCAGAACAGCTGACATACATGGATGCAGTAAGTAGAGTATATGTTCTACTTGAAATGCTAGGGGAAGTAGTGCTGGGTGTCTAAATTATGATTTTTTTAAAGTTATGTCAATGTAAGCATAGTGTTCTAGAACAGGACTGTTGTTGGGACACAGAACATCTCTGCTTGGTTATCTAGACTTGGTTTGTTCGTTGGGCTTTTTTCTTTGTTCTGAAAGTTTGGGTGGTTGTGGGTTTTTTTTAATTATTTTTTTTTAAAGTGTGACTGTATACTGTGTAGCCTATTTTGCAAAGTTTAGTATTCAACAATTGAGATATAGCACGTTTTGACTATATTGCTACCTGGCCTAAATATGTATAGGTACTCTTACCTGTAGTGCTCTGATTCGGTTTGTCTGTATCAATCTCCTTCAAAATACCATCATATAAAAAATTTCCCCCTTGGTTATGCAACTGATATAAATGTGTCTCTTATTTTCCAAGGACTGTTTAGCTGACAGTTCTTTTAGAGCATCAAGCCTATAAAGAGTATGCCAAAATGTATATTTTAAACTAAGAGAAAACAAATATTTACCTTTTAATACCATATTAGATTTAGATCCAGATTGTGCTGTAAACAGGCACTACTTCCTGTGGATAATAGAGATCTAGGAGAATCCTACTGACTCACACACCTGTATTTCCTTCCAGAAACTCTTCAAGAAAGTTGTGCCCTACCACTGTTTGGGATGCATCTGGTCTCAAAGGGATAAGAAAGAAAACAACCACGTGGCACCTACCATCAGAGCCACCATCTCTCAGTTCAATGCAGTTACCAAATGTGTTGTCAGCACTATCCTGAAGAGCAAAGAACTCAAAACACAGCAAAGAGCCAAGATCATTGAGAAGTGGATTAATATTGCACATGTAAGGCATTTATTCCAACTGTTGAATGTTTCTGGCGCGGGTGCCCTGGAGTGGGAGAGCTGGGAAGGGAGAAAGCGGGTGTGTGCGTTGGTCCCAGGCCAGTGAACATCTTGGCTCTAATTCTTTCTGGTTTTGACTGACTTCCTTTGTAATAACAGATGAAGTATTACCCTTCCTCTCCTTAGTTCCTTCCCCACTGTGGAAATGGGGTTGATGCTTGTCTCTTCATAGGGTTGGGAGTGCTAATTAATGAGTGAGGCAAATAACTGTGTCTTGCACATGGGGAGTGCCATATCCTTGATAAAGTAACGTTTATGGTAAGATAGGTGCAAATTCAACCAGGTTACTTCCCTAGGAAGGAACTACTGCTCATGTCAGTGGAAGATGTGAAGTGATGGTTGACATCATCCAAAGGTTAGACTTGTTTGCAGAGGAAAGTTTAACAAGAATAGAGTAGGACTGGCAGTGGGGCAGGCAGCGGGCGCAGTCAGAGTAAACTCTGTGCTTACCCACCCTTGGCCATTCATGTTCAGTCCACAAGCATCATGGTCCCGCTCCTGCATCTGTTGAAATCAGATGTGATGGAAGACAGCACAATTGTTTGTATGTTTTCAGATGTTTATATATATGTGTGTGTATATAACAGCAAAGGTTTTATATACCTTTATATAAAAAAAAATATATACAAGGTTTTAAGTTAAGTGCAGCCACAGGTAACTTACTTCTAGGAAGTGGTAGCCTCTTTCAAATGGAAAAAATGAAAGAATTGTTTGTACTCTTTTGTTTTGAACAATTCTTGAGGCTGAAAAGTCATTCATCTACTGAGTTATTGACAGTTTACATTAGGTACACAAACCAGCTGGTTTGGAGGGGGTAAGAGGAGGTGCAAGCAGAGACCAGGAAAAATAAGTAGAGTTACAATATGGTACCGGTCTCCTAATCTTCTTACCCTTCTGCTTTATCGTTGTCTCTCATGTTTCTTTAACACATTTTCACTCTTTGCTTCAATTCCTTTGTCTTGTAGCAGATTAGATGTTTCTTAATCTTTGCGTGCAAGGGTTTTGCATGCCTTCTTTACATAACTCCAGTTTGCTGATTTCTTAGATTTTTATCTTTAATATTTTACTGTAGTCTTTTGAACTCCCTTATAGAGCACCGGGCGGCTGGCACTAAACTAGATCTCTCTTTTGAAGGGAATGTTAAAGCACTTTCGTATGGAAGTGTGTTGACTTTTTTTTTTTAAGAATCACATGGATTCTTTCCGAGCTATACAGAATAAGCAATCATAAAAAGCTCAAGCCAAACAGAGGCTTTCCAACCTTGACAACACACTGCCATGCTTCCAGGGGCAGTATTGTTAGTCCTGGCCCCTAAGCTCCGGCAACTGCACGGTTCAGGAAACTGGTACGGGGAAACAGTCTTTCACCTCCCTTTCGGCACTTACGTCGACTCGTTTTTGTTATCATCTGATGGCTGCTTTACAGCCCGTGTGAACGGATCTAGGAAGTTGGATTCCTCTTTTCCATGTGCAGATCTTGAAGTCGCGGAGGGTACCATCAAGGGGCCTTGATGGGGCAGACTGGTCCGCAGTCTGGGTGAGCAACCACGAAGCAGCTTCCTGCTCATCATGGGGCAAAAGGGAGGCCTGGGGAAGCCAGGACAGGCACCGCTCTCCTCGCACTCGTTCTGCGGACGGACAGCTTTGTTCTCCACCTCTCTTGATTCAGTGCTTCTCCCTTTACTTAATTCATAGGCGTAATTAAACGCTTCAGTCTTAGCCAAGCACATGGAAAATGCATGTGCACGCTCCACAAAATAATTGCACATGTAGAACAGCTAGCTGCATATATACTTAGCTGCCCGCTTCTGAACAAAGTCGCTTGCTTTGTGCATGCAAATGAGGCTTTTGAATAGTCAGATGCCTGAATTAGAAAATAATCCACTCATTAAAGTGCAGTTATTCACTAACAACTGACTCTGTAACTTAGCAGCACGGAGTCCCACGTGTTTGTGACTTTTGGATCCAGTTTCTTGGTTTATGAGATAAACTGAATACTTTTTCTCACTGCCAGCCCTCTCTGCTCCACCTAGATCTAGGGTTTCTAAGCAGGAGCCAGAATTCACTCACAGAGTATTTTCTTTAAAAAAAAAAAAGTAAAAATGAAATCATTAATATCCTGTTATGCTTAATTTTTTAAAATCAGTGTTGCTTCTGGACAGGATTTTTTTCTGGTTTTCCTCTTGTGAAGGACACAGCATGAAACAAAGTTACTCGAAGCAGTCTTAAAAATTCTTCTTCTATAGAAATGCTAAAGTTTAGTCTGCAGTCAGTTAAGTCATTAGGAACACAAAATCCAATATTGGATTCTTAATGTGCTTTAAATTACACAACGAGCAATTAAGTCAAGATGTTTCCAAATTGGATCTTCCAGTCCAAACTCCTGTTATATTTGGGAAAAAAAAAAAAGCTAAGAATTTGTGCCTCTAAATCTCTGTTCTCCCCAGCCTGAATTTCAAGTTGAATGTAAAGAAAGAAGGATCTCCTCCTCAAATGTGTCGGTCTCTGAAGAAGAGCTGTTATGTGGCTTCTTCAGCCCCAAATCATGCAAAAGTAGCTTTTGGGTCTTGCATGTCTACCACATCATCTTGAACTTGGTCTTCTTCTAGCCTAACTGCCAACCTGCTTCAGGTGCTGGCTGCCCAGTCGGTCTTCTTAAGCCACACTTAGTTAAATGTAGCCTCCTAAGTTGCACAAAGACTTATTTTTTAGGTAAATAAGTGAGAGTAAAGATACTCGCCTTAGTTGTTCAGACAATTTTAATGCAACTCATGCCCAGAGTCAAATCGGCACGGGTTTTGTCCGCTTGCTTTGCGTGTTCAGACACCTGGTTGTGAGAGCTTGTATCTGCAAGGGTTTCTTGAGTCTGTGGTGCCCGTGCTCTAGTTCCTGAGCCACCAACAGATTTACAGGAGTTCCTTGAAGAGTCACAGGCCTGACTTTCCCACCTTTCCTTGCTTCCATCTGCTTTACCAGGATTTTGGGTTTTTTTGAGAATTAAGTTTTCCAGTGTCCTTTTCCATCAAAGCTTTTGCCACAGAGAAGCTGCCTAAGAGATGTCTATGAACCAGTCTCTCTGTTAGGATTTGATCCCAACTCTGGAAAAGCTGGGAAGGTTTTTCTCTGCAGCAGTGTGCACATACTTGAATAACAGGTTATTCCTTTGCATGTCTTTATTTTTAATTGGTGGAGGGTTTAGGTTTTAAATACCACATGCAAAGAGGCAAAGCCTGTTTTTTCCCCTAAAAGGGTAAAAGGGATTGGTAACTATAAAGAGCTTTTTAAGAAGTGTAACGTTTGGGCTTTTTAGCCTGGCTTCATGGACCGAGTTCCACCTTTGTTTTTACTAGGAGAACTGGAAGCTGTAACACTGCAACATCACCACAAATCCAGGAAAGTGAGGAAAACAAGATATAAGTGCCAAAGCCCGTGAAGTGTTGGTGGCTGGGAGGGGGAGTGATATTTTTTGATGCTGGGTATTTGTACAGCTGCCTGCTTAGCAGTGAGAAGGCGTAGCAAGCGTGACACCGGTCAAACAGAAGAGCACGAATGTATTTGTAATGCTGACATTTAATGCTCCCGTGTTTCTAACCGCTCCTTTCACAGGAATGTAGGATCCTGAAGAATTTTTCCTCCTTGAGGGCCATCATTTCGGCACTGCAGTCCTACTCCATCTATCGGCTAAAGAAGACCTGGGCGTGTGTTCCAAAGTAAGCTTCCCTCTCCGCTCCCGTGGCTAGCCCCAAACAAAGCTCAGTGTTCCTTCTTTTCATCTTGTTCTTCTCAGTCGTCTTATTCTGGTCCTTCATGGACATCTGTTCTTTTAGAAGAACCTCTCATTCCTGCGAGGCTCAGACCCCTTTTTTGGGTCTGACTGCTGTGAGGTCCTCCTTCAAATTGAGGGGACAACCTGCCCTGAGGGATACTGGGTCTCTTCTGTCCTTTATAGCATACTGGATCTTCCACAACCTATTCTGAAAAACTATGGGATTAGCTACGCACCCAGCTCATGGGCATCGCTCTCAGAAGGTCAGGGAAAGGGCACCATGATACTTGCCTGTTGTCTTCTCTCCCGTGAAGTTGGAGGAGGTCCAGGTTGCTTACAAACCCTCATTAATCCTCTCCTGGTCCTGACATTTCCTTAAAATATATCCCCAAACGACAAAATCTTGATCTGTATTGAAGACAATGCTTCTTACAAGGGGACACCTTTTTGTGTTCTGTGGGATTGGCATATTCACTGGATGCCAAACAGACACCAGCAATCTCTGTCTAGGAAAGACGCTGTCCTGCTCTGTTCAATTTGGGAAGAACAGATTTCTTTCCTTTGCCTTTGATAAACAAAGACAAATGTCACTCTGCCACGCAGTATACTTCTGCATTTCCCCTAGGCAGAGGTGGGTCTTTCCTTCCGCTGCCCCGTGTTCCTGTTGCTGATCAAAATATTACCATCTTGTGTTTATAGTGTTGGGTAATAGAAAGGGGCTCATACACTTACATCCTTCTAGCTTTCCAGAGTGCAAAAATTCAGTAAGACACCTCTCACAGCTGTTGTTCTGTTCCTTTGTACCCCATTACCCACTTTCTTACAAGAATCTCATACCCTGCACTGTGGTTCAAAACCCTGCTTGGGGTCTGCCTGCCTATGGCATTGCATTGTGATGCTGTCAAACAAGACCTGACTTCACTGGGAGCACCAGAAGATCCCAGGAAGGTTCCCAGTAGATGTGCAGCATCTCATGAGATGCATTTTGGTGGTGTTATCTTGTATATGCCCAACTGTTTATGATTCATGAGGAGGGGAAAAAAAAAAGCTGAACAGTAATTTGATTGAGAGTGCTTGCTAATAACCTAAACCATCTAATCTTTTCCTGTGCAGGGACATAATGCTGATGTTCGAAGAGCTGTCTGACATCTTCTCGGACCACGACAACTATCTGACAAGCAGGGAGCTGCTAATGAAGGTGAGAATTAGCTTGACTTACAAGGCTTGTGATCTCAATCAGAGCTGAGGTCGGCCCGTTTTCTAACCAGCTGCCAAAGCTCACCTCTCCCTGAACTACAGGATGCAGTGCTTCAGGGAAGACAAGTCTGTAAAACTTGTGCTTTTCCACTGGGATGGGAGGTGATTTCGTTGTTCCTGAAAGAACCTACACTAGTGTTGGCCCATTGAGCTCAGGTACCCACGTCCAGCAGGACGCAGCAGCGTGGATTCTGTGTGGGTTTGCTCACAAGACAGCAGTTCAGGAGCCCTCGGAGCCCCTCGGGTTGAACACCACACCGCCGTAATGTGGTCACTAGGTTGGGATTTTGGGACTGGGAACCCAGTGCTCTACTGGGTTGCACCACTGTCGTGACTTCACTGGAACAATGCCACTCAGCTTCAGCTGAGCAATTAAACCGAGATGTTTATCCGACTATCCCGTACCTTTCTTGGAACTAGAAAACAGGGCTGGGAATTTCGAAGGAACAGGCTTCCTGCTCTGTGTGTGGCCAGATGGACAACAAAGCAGGCTCTGTCTGAAACAGTTTGACTTGTGCGCTCTCCTGGGAGAACCCCAATGAGCTCAGGAGCTTGAAAGGAGTGCAGAAGAATAGCAGGGAAAGGTTATATTCCTTAGAAACCAAGGAATGTTTGCGGCAGTTTTCTCTGTTTACATAAAAATGTTCATATAAACTGGCTACCCAGTTTACTTTTTGGCAGTTCTATCCAGTCAGTCTGGCATCTTTTACCTCAGCCCCTTGCCTTGGTATCCAAAACACCGTGTTTTGCTCAGGAATGATGGGTGAGCACATTCAAACCTGTCCGTCTGTTCTGTTCATCATCCATTTATCAACATCTGTAGCTAAATTTTAAAGCAGGTGAGACAACAATAAGTGTAGAGGGGAAAAACGTGTGTTCAGAACAGCTTATTTAACTAAACATTAAATAGACAAAACAACTCAATCCGAGCCCAGACCTTCTGGCTCCCACCAAATCACTCTCTCCAGCTGCTGTAAGAAGGTTTGCAAAACAATTTGAAAGCAGCGCGAGGAGAAAAATTCCACAGAGTAGCTGGAACCTCTCTCCTACTTCTCCTCTTGAACCATTCTGTAATGGTTGGAGGATTAATGTCCACTGAATCCTTAAAGTCTTTGTTTTCTTCCACTATAAATAGTCTCTCTAGGGAAGCCGTGTTTGACCTTGCCTATCCATCCTGCAAATTCAAGCGCGGAGCGGACAAAATGCCATACGGAACAGGTCGGCCGGCACGGAGAGGGAGCGCTGTGTTCTCTCCTCCCCAGACAACGGCTCTGCTTTGGGCAGCGGTTCCAGCTTCTGTGCCTGGCTGCTGTTAGAGAATCTCGAGTTTACCTTTCAGTATCTCGAAGACATTGAGATAACACTCCTTTTTCATTGCTCCTGCTTTTCAGCTAAGGAAGGAAATACAAAATTTGAGTCTCACGCTGAGAAATGTTGTGATGAGAGGGTCTCTAAGTGCAGGCTGCTGGTTTGTGCCTCTTGAAAAGACAGTGATAATGATTCGTGCCCCACCTATCTGACCACTGGAGAAAAGTAACAGTAATTCCCAGCATCCCTTATGGATCCAGGGAAATAAAAGGCTACAGATCTCTCGTGAAATAGCTCATCCATTCATAGGAAAGCTTGAATTGTGGGGATGAAAACCTATTACTTTCATTTCCTCTCTGTTTTTGGATTAGTCAATAAGCCACACAGGGTAGTCGCAGGGTCGCTGCGTTGCGGCGTAGGAAAAACAACAAAGCATTACATAAGATAGAGATGTTTACTTGCAGCGGTCCGGGTTAGGAAATTAAACAGAAATCCTGAGGTCAAGAGTGTCAGGGTGGAGTCCAGAGAAGGATGGAGTTCAGAGAAGCGTCTGGATACCTGAAGTATATCTAAGATTCTCTGATTTAAACTCTCGGGATGTTTTCAACAGCGCTCAGCTTTGGGCAGAGTAGAGCCATTTGGCAGAAAAATTCCTTTGGGATTTTGTCCAAAATTCCCAATCAGTGGATGAGTCCCAGAAAATTAGCACATGTATGCACACACACATGTACCTGCACAGCAAATATTTTTGCTGGCCTAGCTTGCCTGGTTAAATGTGTTTGCAATTATGTTACACAAATGTAGTTGCCATCTTACCTCTCAGCTCCTTCGTTAATCACCTTTTAATTCCTTTTTAACTCGCAGGAAGGAACATCCAAATTTGCCAATCTGGACAGCAGCGTGAAAGAAAATCAGAAAAGGACACAGAGGCGACTGCAACTTCAAAAAGATATGGTGAGTTTGGGATGCTTTTCCTCCCTTTTTTGAACCAGTAACATGATGAACCGTAACTGGGGAATTATATAAGAAGCAAAAATCTAGAAAGGTGTTCAACAAAACGAGCGTGCAGCAGGTAACGCTCCTGAACGTGGCCTCTGTCAAGTGAAAAGCAAGTGAACTGAAAGCTTTAGACAGCCAGAATGTCTGTCCCTGTAAAATATGCCCAAAGCTGCACTCCCCTTACGCTGTGGATCATGGTGAGCAGGTGGTCCTGTGTATGTGTATATACAGGGTGCATATATATATACACACACACACATATATACAATCCCACACATGCACACATCTGTATATCTAAACAGTTACAGCATTCCTGCTGCCCCCAGCTCAAGCTGTAACAGCTACGGTTTTTAGCACAACCCACCTGCCCTTTTACCCCAGTGACACCCGTCTGTGTACTGGAACGCTGGAGAAAAACAGATAAGCAAAGCATCAGCACAGCCGGTGCGTTCAGCGAGCTGACGCTGGGAATGCTGACAGGTTTTGGGATTTGGCGGACGCACGCAGGGGCTGTGTGACGTTCCCTGGTGCCGTCTTCCCCTGTCCCCTGCAAGGGGATAACTGGGTGCACAGACTTGCTGCTCCCGTCCCCGCTTGTGTTTGCTTCACATCCCAACCAGCTATTTGGGATGGACGCTGAGCCAAGGGTTTGGCCTGAATTTCGAGTCTTCCAGAATTTTACGAAACCTGTCTTATGAAAGGGTAACAAATGATGGATGAATATAAACATGCGTTCATCATTTTCAACTTTCTTGTTTCTGTCCTACAAGAAAGAATTTCATAAACTACTTTTGTTACCCTTTAGAGAGAAATACAGGGACAGCCACACAATTTTCATGCAGTAAAATACATAATGTAAATACTGGAGTTCTTGTGATAAAGAAAATCAGCTCTGGCTGGAGCAGAAATCTCATTTACTTTTAAAGAAGCTCATGAAACTTCTGACATACCAGCTTGAAAATTGCACAGACTTCCACAGAGATTGCTTTGTAAAATGTGTCCGGTTTCCAGTCTGCTGGTGAAAATGGCTTTTGTCTCAAAGTTGGCAAAGATTTAAAAGGACAGAGGGAGAGAAATCTGGGATAGGGAGGCAAAAGTGCTGAATATGATTTTTTTTGTTTGTTTGACTGGAAAAAATACAGATCCTTTTGGATGGTAGAAACAAGTATTCCCTTCACAAGTGTAGAAACAACCTAAACTCTACAACTGCTAGCAGCCTAGAAAGTTTAAAACTTGAATAATTACTATTAAAATGCACTGAATGGCTGGGGAAAGTGGGAAAGTGGTCACTTCTTGAAGGAAAAAAACGTGACTTGATTTGACTGGACTGTCACGTGGTATAACATCATCCTTAAGGAAAAATCCACTGGAATGAAGCAGAGAGAGAAGCTGCTCACACCGGCTAGCCGGGACCATTCCCCAGCTCCTTCTCTTTCAGCAGGCAACCAAGGGACCCTGTCCCTGCTGCTCAGTCCTTCACCCACAGCAGGCGTTCCTGGCATCCTGCTCTCATTAGAATTTGAGTTAGATTCTAGATTAGGTACCGAGGATGATGTCATGAAAAAATCCCAGAATTTATAAGACCACTGTTTGGTTAAGCAGACTACTTTTATTTAATTTTCTTTTACAGGAGTATTCTGGTGTTCTAACTATTACCATTTCTCAGTCAATTAATCCAACATTGCTCTGATCATTTGCAGGGGGTAATGCAAGGCACGGTACCTTACCTTGGGACCTTCCTCACTGATCTCACCATGCTTGACACAGCCCTTCCGGACTATATCGAGGTAATTTGGGGCAATTTTTTTGAATCCTAAATATCCTCCCTGCCTTCCCAGCACTGAGTCCCGATATTGGACACACAACACAGCAGGGCATAAGCAATCCAGGAGGTCTGCTGTGGAGACAGGCTGAGAGAGTTGGGGCTGTTCAGCCTGGAGAAGAGAAGGCTCCGGGGAGACCTTCTAGCAGCCTTCCAGTACCGAGAGGGGCTACAAGAAAGCTGGAGAGGGGCTTTTGGACAAGGGTGTGTAGTGACAGGACACGGGGCAATGGCTTTAAACTGAAAGAGGGGAGATTTAGATTAGATCTAAGGAAGAAATTGTTCACTCTGAGGGTGGTGAGACACTGGATCAGGTTGCCCAGAGAAGCTGTGGCTGCCCCATCCCTGGAAGTGTTCAAGGCCAGGCTGGATGAGGCTTTGGGCAACCTGGTGTAGTGGAAGGTGTCCCTGCCCATGGCAGGGGGGTTGGAACTAGATGATCTTTGAGGTCCCTTCCAACTTAAACCATTCCATGATTCTGTGAGTGTGTCTATTCCTGTATCTTCTGCTGGGTTCTTGTGCAGAAAATGGAGGAATCTGTTTTTTTAAAAAAACAAAAAAAAAAAAAAAAAAGGAGGGAATATGCAGTTTTATTCACAAGAATCTTGTGTGAATTTGAGCGCAGTTCCATCTCCAGGGACAAGCTTAACGTTGTATGTTGTCTTGTTTCCTTACGCTAGAAAACGTGAGCAACGTAGGCTTTCCATTACATCGTTTTATTTTTCTGAAAACAGCATTTGAAGTGTAAAGATTTGTGAATTATTGGTAAAATACACAGAATCACAAATTCAGCTCTTCAGACTGATCACTGAAGTACTTCAATATTGACTCAGACGTGTCTGAGCCCTGAAGTGACTGAAGACCCTCTTTTTTTTAATTTCTCTTGTGTTCTTGTATCGGGCTTTTCTTGGGCAGATTGCCAGTTAGGCCATGAGGACAGATACCCTTTGGAGACTCGGATACACGAGTGCTGTGGTTCAAAACAGATCTGGAAACGAGTATTTTTAGAAGGACCTTGCTTAGGGCAGGTCTGAGCTTTACATCAGCCTTGCTACTTCATCCTCTTTGGGATTAAATTCAACTGAGCATGTGCTTTTCTACTCTCCTTCCTTCCAACAGGGTGGCCTGATAAATTTTGAGAAGAGGCGAAAGGTAAGTTTGAACGTTCTGTGATTTTTCGTTTACTTGATGCTGCCTTCTAGCGCGTTCCCTTGGCGCGACCTCATCTTTGCTCCAGCACATACAACAGCCACTAATTTTAATGGAAGTTCAGGAGGAAAGACCAGATCCCTGAGATGCCGTGAGCTTCTGGCAGACTGTGAGGGGTGGCACAGGAACAGAACCCCCTTTTTAGGTGTGTGCAATAGGGGAAGAGGCCACTAACTCCCATGGAAATCACGCCCAGGGCACGCACGTTTCCTCCGTTAGGCGTTCATGGGAATATGTTCCATGTGTACGTCCCACCAGGACCAGAATCAGACCAGGTGGAGTGAGACCTTTGCTTTGCAGAAGATACAGTTTGTAAACATCTTCCTTCTGCGGCAGTAAACTACTTGTAGGTAAAAGGGAGTCACGCTGTGTAGGAGTAAAGGTACCAGGGTTACAGCTGTCTGAGTGAAGTCGTGCCACATCTCCGTTCTGGGGTCTGGAAGCAGACTTGGATTTGGCTGTGATGGAGCCATTTCCTTCCCTTAACTGCTCCCAGCTCTACAAACCACTTCTCGGACTTGCCTTGTATGTGTAACTGCACGGCTCAGGATGCTCATAACGAGATACATGAGCTTCTCCACGGTCATCAGACCGGCTGCAGTGGCAAAGCTGCCCTCTGGAGTACTTGGCTCCGTTCCTGCATCCTGACTCTATAACCTGCTCTAACACAAAGGGTGTTTAGGAATTATTTTGGCAAAGTGTGCATGCAGGTGGAGTTACAGAAGAGCAGCACCTTCTTGTCACACGTGCCAAGGGTAGAGTTTTACGTTCCTCTGGCTCAAGTGTGAGCGCACGACGCGCAAAGCGGGGAGGATCAGCCCCTCCGCTTCCATCGCAGGCACCCCTAAGCCCTCCCCTTGCTTGCTGCCCCAGAACCACCTAAGTACAGCGTGCGATTCTTCTCTCAGAGCTGGTCCTGACAGGGCAGGGTGATGTGAAGAACCTGTGACCCTTTGCCACCCTTGTTCCGAGAGGAACAGCCAGCAGCGCTGCCGTTCGGCGGCTTCGCACCGGCATTACGCCCCAGTCAGTGCTTGGGAAAAGCTCTGTGGCGGAGCGTGATGCCTTGTGTTTGCCTTCCAATTTGTGCGTGGCGATAAAACGGTCACGTTTCGACACGTTAGGGATGCTGCGGGGGGAATAATACTTCATTGTTTGAAAAAGTGGTTCTTCAAATAGTCATTCAACTGAAGCTGAACTTGAGGTCAAACTAAGTCTGTCCTGGATCCGTTGTTGCGTGTGTTTCGTATATGAGTGAGTTTGTTTGGCTTTCTCTTGTTTTTCTAATTAGAATTCCTATTTGATTGTTTATTTTCTTAGGAATTTGAGGTAATCGCCCAAATTAAGCTCTTGCAATCTGCATGTAACAGCTACTGCATGACACCAGACCAAAAATTCATCCAGTGGTTCTGGAGACAGCAGCATTTATCTGACAAGGAGAGGTAGGTTCTCCACCCAGCTGCCAAAGCAGACTTTTCTTACCCCACACCCACCTGCGGGTAGGTTATGTCAGCCTCCAGCTGTCCTCCGACAGGAACTTACCCGTACTGCTGCTCGAGGAGAGTGGAAATACATCTGCCTTCTGCTGAACAGCTGTAGAAAACCCAGTGAACACTTAGCGGGGTTTAGTTTCGAGACTGGAAATCAGGCTTCTGCCTTTGAAACAGGATAAGTCTGTTGTGTCTGGGCTGTCTGTACGCCCAGAGACACGCTTGGAAGGCGATCCTAAGGGATGTCGAGATGCAGGCACTGAGCGTTCAGCTGGTGGATGCGGGCAGCAGGTAGCCAAGGCAACGCAGAGCTCGCTGAGTGCTCACCAGATAAATGTCTCCCGGGCGTCTGGAGTGGGTTTTGCAGCCCTGCTGAGTTCTGTGCTACTGCACAGGCTGCTAGATCAACCCAAGACAATTTATTTACAGCGTTTTAATATCTCCACCGGGAATTGGAATACCACTCTGCTGCACTAAGAGTGTAAGCACAGATACATACTGCACTGTACTGAGTCGTAGTAAAACAAATATGTCAGCTTATCCAATGTTAAGTATTTCTTCATTTATTTTTGTTTTAATAACATTATGAATGTCATCCAAAAAAGCGTAACTTTTTAAAACTGCTATAAAGAAGCAAACTATCCCCTTCACCATGGTAAAATGTGGACAGAGCATGTTCCTCTTTGTGGGGTTGTGACCTGCCGTGAAGTGGGAATAACTTAAGGTTTCTTGAATTTCTTGAATGCCTCTCCTATGGAGACAGGCTGAGAGGGTTGGGGTTGTGCAGCCTGGAGAAGAGAAGGCTCCGGGAAGACCTTCTAGCAGCCTTCCAGTACCTAAAGGGGCTACAAAAAAGCTGGAGAGGGGCTTTGGACAAGGGTGTGCGGTGATAGGACAAGGGGCAATGGATTTAAACTGAAAGAAGGTAATTTAGATTAGACAGAAGAAATTTTCTACACTGAGGGTGGTGAGGCACTGGAACAGGTTGCCCAGAGAAGTTGTGGCTGCCCCATCCCTGGAAGTGTTCAAGGCCAGGTTGGATGAGGCTTTGAGCAACCTGGTGTAGTGGAAGGTGTCCCTGCCCATGGCAGGGGGGTTGGAATTAGATGATCTTGAAGGTCCCTTCCAACCCAAACCATTCTATGATTCCATCCTTCTATGAATATTGCTACTCTTTAGATACATAACTAATAGTATTGTCTGTAAAAATTAACCCAGTGGCCTCTGCTCTGCAGTTGCAGCCTTTCCCATGAGATCGAAGCAGCTGCTGACACTAGCACCACGTCGCCGAAATCTCGGAAAAGCATGGTGAAGAGGTTCAGCCTGTGAGTATGACGGGGCAAGGGGCGTTTGGTGTGTTAATGTGAACCTGAATAAATCAAACAAGCCATATTCGTTTCACCAGCTGAAAACCCCAGCTGGAGATCCAGACCACTGCGTTACTTTAAGGAGACACCATCAGCTAGAAATTTGTACTTCTGTCTGAAGTTGTCCCTTTCTATTATTATATGTAGTTGTGAGGATTATTAATGATGAAAGAGATTAGAAACAAACAAGCCTTCCTAAAAGGTCAGAAAAAAAGGAACAATTTTAGTGCTGGATTATAAATTCAGTATCTGTTGTGTAATGACTTCCCTGAAAGCAGTAGCAAAACAGAGTAAACAAGGATAAAGTCTGGCCTGTTATTAATCTAATTTGCTATACACATGCAAAAATTCCTTGCAGGATTTGAATACGAAAATTCAGGTTAGCAAAAAGGCATTTGATAACGGAAACAATCTGCCAAACTGCCTTCACGTTGGAGAAGGAAAAAGGTCATGGGGATGTGGTCCAATTTAATGTAATACCATAAAGATTGAAACAGGAGGTGGGTGGAGAGCAGGGGCACGCAGCTAAGCACACGCAGGAAACAATCCGCTAGCAGGAATCCAGGGAGAGCTGCAGGGAATGAAAGCAGAGACCGAGGACCCAAGTAAATCTATCTTAAAGATGAGAAATTTGAACCCGGTGCAAGAGGAGATACGAAGGGACTCCCACATACTGGTGGCATGATCAAGATGAGGGGAGAAATGATGAATTTAACAGCACTGCCACCTCTCAACTCTCCCTTCCTGCTTGGTCCTTGTGCCTGGTTTCCCCAGCAAAGCCAGCAGCCACTTCACGTCACGTGAGTGCTGCTGCAGGTTAGGGTCTGAAAGAAGAACAGATGTTTTCAACCTAGAGTTTTGAGTTCCGATACGCAAAAAAGCCCACAAACAGGCAGCTGTTTGGAAATTTTTTCCATTAGTCCATCCGAGTTGGTGGTGATACGCTAGGAGAACGTGAGCTTTGAAGATGACAGTGCCTGAACTGTCGATGGCCTCTTGTTTGTGTCTCCCTTGGCTCGTGCCTAAGCTGTCGCTGCGGAGCACAGGCTTTATTCTCTCGTTCCAGTGCTCTAGTATTGTAATTTACCGTATCGAGTTTGTTTGTCCAAAGAGTTGTTCCGTCTGCCCTCTGAATGTATTTGGCAAATTAATGCTGTAAAGACCGGCACAATTCATCCCGGAAACAGCGAGTGACACCTCTCTGAATTGTTTTAAATCATTAACTGCATCCTGACATACCATCTAATTCACCTTGCTTCTCTGCCTTACATATATTATACGTTTGTTTCCTTTGACACACCTTTAAATTCGCCTGACCTGCCTTCAGAAACGAGTCTGAGAGAGGGAGAGCCTATAATTTACACTTTCTTGTGGGCTCCTCATTGTGTCTGTTTGGACTCTTAGAGAGAAACTGGTATCTGTGGCACCTTTATTGAGTGAAAGAATTTGCAGCAGGGGTGAATTTGCCTTTTCAAGACCTTTGGCTGTGCGTTACCTTTTCCTGCACAGTTTCCCTTACTCATGGAGACTGAGTAGGTCTTGAGCTGCCTCGTGCCAGAGGGACCAGGGTGTGACAGCAGCATGCAGGAGCACGTAAGGCAGATCCGGCTGCTGTGCCTCTAACTTGCCCCTCGTCCCTTGGTTTGTAATCCCATCAGGTTTACGATCCATCGTTTCCTGGCAAGTAAGTCTGAAAATTTAATGGGCCGAAGAGGAGTCTTGTTGGTGCCACTTGGGCACCAGCTCCGATTTTGGCCTTGACGAGGTCAAGAAGGCGGCGCGTTAGTGCGTAACAAACTCTCTTGCCAAACCGTATAAACACCACAGAGGAAATGAAAACAATGGGCCACTCGAGATAAGAAAACAAAACAATACGTGAGATCTGTGAACCGAGTGTCAGCTTTGCTCAGCCCAGCTCTGTTCTGCTTTCACTTACTGGTTTTTGTGCTTTCTTTTCTACACTAGGCTGTTTCTAGGCTCCGAGGTGATCGCCCACAGCACACCCATCAAAGAGCCACCCAAATCCACTCCAAGTGGGAGCTCTGGGGAAAGCACGGACTCGGCCAGTGTTTCGTCCTGTGAGTTTAATCACTCTGAATCCGAAGACGCCTGCACCACTCCCACAGGCACTCCCGAGGAGCCTGAGAAGAAGGTACGGTCCGGGCCTCGCTGCCAGCACAAACAGCCTGTGGCTGACTGTCCACACTGCGGGCAGGCTCCAGCTGCCCACCCAAGCCTCTTGGTCTTGGCTAGAGCATTGCTTTTAGAATGGAGAGACTCTAGATAAAAATGGAAGCAATCCAGTCAGGATTTTTGCACAACTCCTTCTGTACTGCCAAGGTACCAGGTACACTGAAGTTCTCCCCCGAAACCAGATTTACTTGTGGTGCCTGGCAGTGTTTGTGGTTTAGGTGAGGCCCGCAGAAGCAGGAGCTTTGGGTTTTTTTTTCAGTCCCTCATCGTGGCTTTTTTGAGAGGGATGGGTTTCTACCTTGGTGTGGGATCAGCTGAAGAGGAGCAAGATCAACAGCTGGTCATTTTGTCCTTGAGTATGTCAGGTTTGAGGAGTTATTCTGCTGTCAGCAGCCTGTTGCCACGTCCAGCGCGCTGGAGCTGGGAAAACAAGTTTGACTTTAGAATTCACGCACCCACTAAGGAAAGCTCGGCTGCAGTAAAGCTGTGCCGGCACTCCGGGAAAGGTGTTTTCCGGGTGGGAAAGCACACGTGCAGCAGTAACAGCCCAGTCCTGGGGAAGGCAGAGCGGCTGCGGCTGACCGAGGGGCAGCAGGTAAGGTAGGAGCTCACCAGCCCTGCGGATCTGACCTCCCGTGAGCTCCCTGCTGCCAAGACTTGGCTCAGCTGAATCCCACTTGGAGAAATTGGGGCATGGCACTGCTGTACCTCCTCCTGCACGCCGGCTCGCTCTTAGCACGCGCAGCCAGTGCCTTACGTGAGGGCACTGGACCAGCCTGCCGGGAATCCCTCGTTGTGCCGAGAAGGCAAAGCCGGACACCCCGCACGCTGTTACCTTCTGGAGAGACAAACTGCACAGGCAGGAAACTATCAGTAGGCATCTGATAGAGGGATCCACAGGGACGTCCTTCCTTCCAGGCAGACTCTTCCCTTTTGAACTAAATTGTGTAAAGTATATTGTTGAAGCCATTTTTAGGGATGTTTTGCTGAGGAGTGTTATACTGGGGTTTAGCTTATGGCTATTTTCAATTAAATTGCACTAAATATTCTCAAGCCAAATGAAGCAGGAGATCCCAGACACTGGTATCCATAAATCACTTAAACTGTTCAGCTGGAGCAGTTGTTACAGGGGTTTTGATAAGCAAGCTGGAGAGGGAAGATCCTCTCAGCAGTTTTTAAGCAAGGCAGGGGGAGAGAAAGGCAAAGACCCTGAGCAGCAATAACAGTATGGGGGCAGTTTGCATCGAGGAAAGAATATTCCAGGAGAAGCAGCAGGCAGGGAGGTGGATGTGTATTTTGTATTTTCACTGGTGTGAAGGCTCCGACTTGGTGCAGGGGCAGCGGTGCCCGTGAGGCCCTTGGCTTGGTCCCAGTCCCGGGCTGGTTGCCCACAGCCTGATTCTGTTGTATCTGCTGCCACCTCCCGACCTGCTCTCCCTGAAAGGCAAGAGCAAGCGTCCGGCACACCGAATTGGAAATGTTTTCATAAAAATGCTGAAATAAATTAATCAAGTGAAGCTCACTTTTTTTCTGGAGGCAAGAAATAACCACTGCCAGCCTGCTGGCGACTGAGGTTTTGTATATGCCTTCTGCTTTCCCAAGTTCTTCCTCCAGAATGACACACACAGACATGCAAAACGTCCTGTTTATGACAGTGTTTCTCTTTCTTTCTGTTGCGTAGCTCTCCGAATCGTCCTCCTCCTCCGAGTCCTCCACCCATTCCACGGACACATCTTCCTCGGGAGTGTCATCTCTAATCTCACCCTCTCCTGCACAGTCCTCTACCGACAAGTGCTCTGTCTCCGAGACGCCCGTTACCTCAAAAGCACCGTCTCCTGTTTACAACCAGCAGAACAACGATACGTGCATCATCCGCGTCAGCACGGAAAACAACAACGGCAACATGTACAAGAGCATCCTGGTGAGTGGCACGCGACAGCCAAACGCTGTTATCGTCGGTTGCGTTTTCACCCCGGGTGACTGACACAAACGGTGCGTTCAGTTTTGGAAAATCCCGTTCACTGAGCCGACCAATCAAACCCAGCTGGAAAGGGAAAACAAGAGATGGTACGATTCAAAAGACGCGGGGCATGGGATGAACGAGAGGGTTGAAACAGCATCTTTGTGGGTGTTTCCAGTCTTGTGAAAGTTAGGGTTTTATTTTATCAAGTTCCCAGCAGAGCGTTCTGATCAAGCGCAGCCTTTGCTGCTCCTGCCCTTCTCCCAGCGCTGGCTGCTTTGGCTCCAGCTCGGAATTTGTGTGCCATTTATTGACATGAGATGCCATGTGCCAGCTTTTCTCAGGAGAAGCTTTTCCCTGGGAGCTGATGAGCCCTTTAACTACGCAGCTTCTCTCTGCGGCTAAGGTTGCCAGACCGGAAGCAACTGGCGTTCCGGTGTTTCCCCTCGATGCTGGTTCCACAGAGGGATTCCAGCAGTGACGGGCCGATGGCTGAGGGAGCGCAGGGCATGGCAGAGCCTGGGGGGGAGCAAACGCACACGGAGGAGTTCTTAGCACGTGTAGCTACTTTATGATTTTAACGGTCTGACCTCCACGGGCCTGATGGATTCAGCTCCTGGCGAGACAAACCTTCCTTTTGACTGCGGAAGGCTCTGGAGGGAGCCCCGTGTCCGCTCCGGATGCACGGCGCTTCCACAGCAGACAGTAATCCCAGTTACGAGGCCAAAAGTCTTTGCAGGATGTCTAAGTGCAGGAGATGGCAGATTAATCAATGTCTGCAAACAGATGGGGCAGCTGTTTACGTGGACGTTTAGGGCTGGTGAGAACAATGCCTCATCTCTCCAAGTGTTTGCCCAGGAGAGCAGACACTGATTTACTGCTGTCTCTTCTGCCGTCTTCAACTAAAGACCCACCACCACTAAAAATCACAAATAGCATGTTTTATCATTGCAACTCTGTCTTTCCAGGTAAGCAGCCAAGACAAAGCTCCTGCTGTCATCCAGAGAGCTATGCTGAAGCACAACCTGGAATGTGACGCAGCTGGGGATTATGAGCTCGTACAGGTCATCTCTGAGGACAAAGGTAGGGAAGCAGAATCCTGCTGCTGCTTGAAAACTTCTGCTGGCTTTTGGAGGGGAGACTAAAATGTGAAGCAACGTTAGCGATGCCATGGACATGTCACAGCTGCCAGGGAGAATAACTCCCCTCAGTAACTGGCGCGCAGGGGGGTTTCGCCCCGTGCTCAGGCTGTTTGCCCAGTCCCTGTCCTCTCGCAGCTTTCCTTTGCTTCCCGCAGTACTGCCAACTAACCCGTGCTCTGCTCCCTCTGTTGCAGAGCTGGTGATCCCAGGCAACGCCAACGTGTTCTACGCCATGAACAGCCACGTGAACTTCGACTTCATCCTGCGGAAAAAAGCTTCGGTCAATGGGCAGGTGAAGATGAGGAGCCGCTGCAGCCTGGCGTTCCTCAGGACTGCCAGGCGCGGGTGCTGGACCAACAGGCCCAGCAAAATCTCACTGTGAGGGAGGCGAGGCCCCCGGAAGGAGAGAGCTGGTCGAGGACCATACCATTGCTGCCAATCCAGTATTACGGAATCACAGATGAATGTATCAGTATTGGACTTTGAGAACGTTTGACACCGAAAATGTTTTCCTTTGTGCCAGTATTACACAGAAGAAGAGCAATTTTTATAAAACTGGAGAAGAAAAATCTCAATATGATTCTTCCTGACCCAAGAAGGACGTCCCAGCCAGCCTCCAGCTGCCTGATGGGAGCACCGGTTTGCAGAAGGTGTGGGTGAGCCGTGTGCCCCAAGAAGTTGCTGCCTCCAGGAGGCATTTACATTCCCAAAAAAAACAAAAAGCAGGCTGGGTACGGCCCCAAAACACTTGTTACTGGAGACAGCACGAACTCAAGAGCGTGCGTTGCTTTCATACAGCTGGCAAACTTCTTTTTGCACTTGTTCCACGCCAGAAAATGACCTATTTTGGACTTTTCTCTTTTTTTCCCAAAGAACTTTAAAAGAATGGACTGCACTTGCTTTCAGATGAATGTCACGGTTTGCTCATGAACAAGGCAAACAAACACTACTTGTCTGGATCTACATCTTACCACCACCACGGTGTGGTTTCCCTTTCCGTTCGATAACTCGTCGGACAGGAATCGCTGCCTTTCGCCTGTACCCTGAAACGACTGATGTACCTCTTCGGAATGTGCAATCACTTGTCAAGAGCAAAACTTTGGACTCACGTTTTCATTCACCAGGGGCAACTACTTGACCTTTCATTTTTAAAATAAGTGGGCATTGAGAGGCGACAGCCGCGTTTCAAGCGTTACCCCGACCAACCAGAGGTTTTATGTACTTGTAGCATTGTTACGCATAAACTACAGCCACCTCCCTTGCTCTTTATACCCATCTCTTAAATTAATTTCCTGACATGGTACATCCTTTCAGCTGGACTAAAGAATTCAGCTGGAACTAAGAATTTAATGATCTGTTCTCTGTGAAACTTTAAATAACGTACTGCTTGAGTCTCTTCCCAAAACACAGGCTTCCTTGGAACGACAGTTAGAGGTTCTACTTTAAAAAGCCATAAGTGAGACATTGGATTGTAAGCAGCCTTCACCAAACAGGCTGTCTTTGAGGTTAAAAGAAACTCAAATACTGAATTTTATACATACCTGGGCCTTTTCTCCCCAGGCTCCAGTTCTGTAGCACTAATTTTCCAAACGGGCCCCGATGCCATTACCGATCAGTGATAACCTCACGCCGCAGACACCGATGGGTTGTGCCATATTTCACACTACGCGAGGGTTCATCACCTCTGTTTACAAATAACACTGTGCAGGTCCCAGACTGAAGAGTTTCACAACTCCAGTTGTAGTTTTGTCACACAGAATGTCAGGGATTACAAGGGACCTCCGAAGGACCATCTAGTCCAAGTCCCCTGCCGGAGCAGGACCAAGAGGGTGAAGACTGTGAGTCTGTGGTGCCTTGCCCAGAGGTAGGGCACGGTCACAACGGACGTTCAGTTTGCTTTGCGTTTTGGCGTAGGCACGCGTTGACGGCTGCGAGGTATCGTTTGTAAAGTCCAGTATTGCTCACTCAGAGGTTGTGTGTCTGTATCAAACTGAATGTTGTTAATTTTAAAATGACACTTTCCAAAAGGTTATTATATGAAAAAGATTTTTTTTAATTGTTTACCTGTAATCTTTATACAGTAAGTATATAAACCTTTTTTCCACTAATATTTGCCTGGCGTGTATTTTCTTCTCTTAGACTTTATTACAGCATGTCAGTTGTGCTTTCTTTTTTTCCCCCCCACAGCAGTTCCTCCCTTCATCTTCCTCACTTGTACTGTTTTAACTGGTCTCAACTTCTTCCACCTCCCAAATGCGTGTTCCCCGCTGCCCAGAGAACTTCGAGCTCCACATCAGAGCTGTGTTCCCTTGAGCTGGAACCCTTCAGCCATGACCTGCCTTCAGCATGATTTTACTCTTCAACATCACCTCCAGTGTGTTTGTAGCACTGTCAGCGTTACCATTGTGCCTTTTTTTTTAATTCTTTAAAGTTATTTTATGAGGCCTCTGTGCTGCTTCGGCAGCGTGGCCGGACGGGCTGTCCGAGTGAACTGGTCTCTCACCTGCGTAACTCACCGAGTGGCAGCAGCTGATGAGGAGCCCTGCGTGGTCCCGTCGCACGCTGCAGGACTGCGATGAGCTGCTTGAGAGCACAAGGTAAACGTCAGCAAAGCAAAAGCCACCCCAGTGCAGCAGCCCTGCACACCAGCCTGCTGTTGCTGTGCAATGTTTTTGTGCTTTTTTTTTTGGATGAGCTTTCAGTGTAAGGATTTTGGTTGTAACTAAATAGGTAACTTAGATTATATGCAAATTTGACGACAACTTCTTCATGAAATCATTCTCTTGCAGGTCACTAAATGATTTCAGTCCTTGATTTCAGCCCAGTCCCTGCTCCCACAGATCACCTGCCATCTCACCCCTCACTTCAGCACTGGGGGTGACCCCTAAATCTGCCAAAAAGTCACAGCTAAGGCCTTGAACTGCAGCAGTTGCCTTTGTCTCTAAAGGACCCCTCGTATTACAATAGTAAAGGCCAAAGAAAAGTTAACCTGAATTTAAGGTTCCTCTGTTTGTGGTTTTTTTTCCCTACTTAAACTACCCCTGGAGCTAAAACACAACAGCACAACCTTACTCAGTATTTCCTTCAGGATAAATACAATCTGCCATAGTGAGAGCACAACAGCACTTTTCCTTTCTGAAACAAAACCAAAGACCAAGTTGTTAGGTTACGAGCAGCCTTACTGCAGCTAGATCATCATTTTTAGGGCCTGTCACCTTAACTTTTCTTGTGAACAAGCTGCCTTTGCAGCTGGTTTGCTACTTCTACTCTGCAAAACCTGTTCTTGGCTTCCACTGGGTGTTTTTCCCTGAGGCTTAGCTCAGATGCTCTGCAGCAGAGCAAAAACCCCATACCAAAAGGAGATTTTTTTATATAAAAAGGAGAAGAAAATAAAAAAAGGAAGAAAAGAAAAAAAAAGCCCTTGGTGGTTCACGCAGCAGCCTGGCAAATTTTTACCGATCACTTGTCAAGTTCTGCTAATAGAAACTCCTTTTTCAAGATGTATGACCTAATGCACCCACCACCCTTGGGGCAGTGGGTGCTAAAGCTGGGGGAGGCTCAGCAGGGACAGACGTCCCACATCCGTGCCCACGCTGCCCCATGCCCCAGGATGGCACATCCCCTGCGCACGGCAAACAGCTGTCTCAGCCAGAACCTGAAAGCTGGTTCCTGCTTCTGCTCTAGTTTTGAAGCTTGGTAGATGAGTCAAAAAAAAACCAAAAAGGCCATGGAAAGTGGAAAAAATATCAGAAAAACATAGAGGTAAGTGTTTCAATTGCTTCTGCTTTTCCAAAACACAGTTAATTCTGGGTAGGGCAGAGCCTGGGCAACACCTGCCAGGGAAGTGAGAACACGGAAAGGGAAAAACAGCACTTGGAGCACTGGCCATCCACTGCGTCCTGCGTATGTAAATAAACAGAAAATTGTGTACTTATATATATAAACATATATATATAGTATGTAGGTATGTATATATATACACACATGGGTGATTATATAGGTAAAAAAACCATCAGGTAGAGTGAGGCCATGTCTGCTCTGAAATGGACATATTCATTTAATTAATTACATTTTTATATTTGTATCCCTTTTTTTTAAAAAAAATCTATGCTATATTATTTCCGGCGATGCTCCCACGTCTCTCTGGGAGAGCCCAAAGGGGCAGCTGTGGGGCTGTGCCATAGATCCCAGAGTGATCCAAGCACAGTAAGCGGCTCCAGGAGCCGGAATACCCTACCTGCTCCCCGTGTTTCAGGACGCGGGGAGTAACTGTGAGGAACACCAGGAACATTTTTAGCCACGGTGTTCATGGAGATGCTGCTTCAAACGGGATCATGAAAGGTCAGAAGAGGAAGGGCTGGTAAAACCAGAGCTCGTGCTGATGAAGGTAAAGCACACCCAGGGCTGGGGGGAAGAGAGGTCTCTCTTGTAGACCCAGAGGTGGGTCTCTCAGAGAACACAAAGCACATGAGGGCGGAAGAGACACATCACGTGTATGAGCACAGCACAACCACAGTGAACCTTTACGTGCAGAGGCAGCCACGAAATTAGACCAGAGAAACAGTATCAGGCCAAAGGAACTCATAGAATAGCTGGCTCATGGAATCACAGAATGGTTTGAGTTGGAAAGGACCTCAAAGATCGTCTAGTTCCACACCCGCTGGCATGAGCGGGGACACCTTCCACTACACCAGGTTGCCCAAAGCCTCATCCAACCTGGCCTTGAACACTGCCAGGGATGAGGAAACCAACCTGCTGTTCTGTTCATCCCGCTCTTCTGCCAGTCTCTGATACACGTGTATCCCGTGTTAGTGGGACTGGAAGCTCAGATGGGTGCTATGCCAAACTGGGGCCCTGCTCCTCTGGTCCTCTCTTCCCACCACAGCTCCTGCAGCCTCCCAGCCCTCAAACAGCATTACCAAAGTCCTGGAGAAACAGCTACGCTGCACAATCTGCCCCAATCCCAAGGGAAGCATGATGTGATGGAACAACTTCGTGCCGCGCCGCAGTGACACATGACAATATGCTGGATGCTCACCAGTTCACAGATGTCCTGCTTCTGAAGGCTGTGCCGAGCTTCTAACCAACACCTGTGGGATTGCTGTGCCCAAAAGTGCTTCCAACAGGTCAGGCTCACCCCTTGTACAGCAAGACCTGAGGACGAAGCAAGAGGAGTTGTCAGAGAGGAATGACCCGGGCTGTGCGTGGTGGCCCATGACAGAGCTGCTCTCCCTACTCACCGTGTCGCATGGGCACCTGCTCCAGCCCGGAGAGCAGAAGGCTTCCAGGCTGTAGTTGCAGAACAGGCACGTTTATATGACCAGTGACTCTACAGTGGAGTGACATAGCTAAAAATCTCCTGAGCTGGCTCTTCTTGGCCAG